CTAATATTTTTTTCTTTCCTTGAATTAAGGATAGTGACACAGCATAAGAGCGTCTCATAGACATAAGAGGAGCATTTATTCAATTTCCTTTCAGCCATCTTCTTCCAAAATTGAGCAACTGTTCTGTGTTACCCTCTTAGTGGTATATTGGTGACTAATTTGGTGGATTATTATCTTTTGTTAATTGTGGGATCAAAATCTAAGGATGGGATGAAGTTGTTTTGATTTATATTTTATTTATCACATGCTACAAGATGATTTTCCAAATTTATGAAGATGAAATTGATTCTTCTCTGCATATTCTATTATTGGATTGATCTTTAGCAAGTTTTAAAACAAAGTGCTCATTTACTCCTAAACTTACTTATGGGTATGTAAAATTAGATATTAGAGAATAATATAAACCATCAAAAAGGTTTTCACCTAACACCTTAAGGTTTTGGGTTGAATTGGTTCTTTACATGGTATCTAGAGTCTAACGAGAGGAATCATTGCTCGCCTTTTTTATTTCTCTTTTTTATAATTTTAATATGGTAATAGAGAGATATCACCCTCCATGAGGGATTGGCTTTCCCGTCTGTTCCCTTTCTCTCTTTGCTTCTCTTAGTTTCTTCCGGGTGTGTTTTCTTCTTCTTCGGTGATTTATTGTTTTGATTTTAATTTTCTTTTATGGCTTGTATTTGGCCAATTTTATTTTCACATATGTTTGTGATGTTATTCAAGTCTGATTTGGCTTGTATTTGATTTATTTTTGCCATTGTTTGGCTTTATTTTGGCCTCCGAGTAGCATTTATCTCAGTTGTTGTCTGGTCTACAGATTTCTCCAGTTAAAGTGTCTCTGTCGACTTGTATCCTAGTTGCAACAATGTCTTTCCCAGCCCTTTTGGCTGATGTCTTTCTTAGTTGTTGCCTGGTCCGCGAATTTTTCCAGTTAAAGTGGCCCCGTCGGCTTGTATCTCAGTTGCAACAATGTCTTTCCCAGCCCTTTAGGTTGATGTCTTTTCTAGCTCTTCAGATTAATGTTCATTCCTGTTGATTTGCTGTCAATTTCTTTGACTTATTTTCCGTGAAGATTCATTTTAGTTTTCTTTCTTCCCAAGATGAAGTGTCCCTCCATCTTGAGGGGGAGTATTCAAGATATATATAATATTTTATTTTTTATTTTTATTTTTTTGTAAATAAAGAGGTGCACAGCCCCAAAAAACAAAGACTAAACAATCAGAGACAAAGAAACAGACGTGGAGACATCCCTTAACAGGAGCTCCTTAAGAAAAGAAGGAGGCCTATAGAATTGAATAAAATTCCCATCTCCATCATTTGTGTAAGAAGCAATCCAATGAGCACATGAGTTGTTGTCCCTGCTGATATGCTTGCAATGCACAATCCAATCTTGTGCCATCCACTTGCGAATCCGGTCTATAACCTGAGGACTTCTAGAATTAGGATCATTGTTGTAAATGAGAGAAATAGCATTCATGGAGTCACACTCCACTATAATCCTTCTGAAACCAGAACTCCAAACAAATTCCAAGCCCTTCAATACTCCCCATAACTCTGCATCCAAAGGATTATTATAGCCAAGATTTTGTTTGAAACCGCCAAGGAACATACCATTGTGATCTCTAACAAGGCCCCCACAACTAGCAGATTTTCTGATATAAGAATATGCCCCATCTGTATTGAATTTTAGTTTATTATGTTTGTTATTTTTCTTTAGGGTGAGTTGTTACAATCCCCACTCGTTTATTTTGATGTTATGTTTCTTAGTCTTTCTTGTTCAAGCTTGTTACTTATGATCTATATGCTCCAGCTTGAGGGAGAATGTTAGAAAGAATATTTTTAGGATATCTTTATTATTTGTAAAGACTATTTTCTTATTTCATTAGGATTTAGATTAGATCTGGGCTAAGCCCATTAGTATTTCTTTATATATTGTACTCTCATGAATTAATTCAATATATATTTGATTTATTTCAATGTTCCTCTTGTCTCTTATTATTTTATATGGTATCAGAGTTTCAGTGACCATAAAGTCATAAGTTCAATCCTCCCCTTCCCCCACTTTCTAGGAGAATTAAATAAGCACAAGATAAACCAAAAAATTGGCATATGCAATATCCACGCTTCAAGTCCAAAAGGCTCTTGCGTGAGGGAGTGTATTAAAAAATAATATAAACCATTAAAAAGGTTTTCACCTAACACCTTAAAGTTTTGAATTAAATTGATTCTTTACCTTACAAATGGAGTATTTTTTTTATTCTGTTCAATAGTGATATTTATTCTCTAATTGCATTTTGATTGTTGAAGATCTTAAAAAATGTTTGTTTGTTGTCTTTATGCAATACAAAGAAAAAGAAATTTTTTTAAAAGTGAAATTAAGTCAGAATTTTGATTAATAACAAATGATTATTCCATATGGATTTTTTTATTATTATTTGAATTTTGAATTTTGCAACAATTTATATTTATGTGATTGATTGATTTTTGATCCACGGACTATCCTTAACCCAATGGATTATATGGATTTTTGGCCTGTGCAGATATTTTTGTTTGCGGGTTTTTCTTGGCCCAAAAGGCCTTCCGGCTCAAGTTGACCCGTCAACACTAGGAGGTAAATTTTTTAGATTTACGCGTTAGGATCTTTCATTATTAGTATTTAACTATATTAAAGCCATTCTTAATATTATACACACGAGTTCAAATTTAAAGAAATAATTTTAAAAATCAAAATTTAAATTAGATTACTCAAAAATTCAAATAAATAAATTTGTTAAAATTAGGTAAAAATGCAAGGAGCCCGTTCCAAATTCGGACAAAAAGTTTATTGATATTTTAAGATTCTTTAACACGATATCTTTCTAGAACTAATTAAAAATTGTATATAAGTCCTATTAGACTCTCTCTTCTTCTTTTTTTATAGTAAAAACTATTAGACTCTTTAGGACATACAGAAAACTCCGTTACAAGCACTTAACATGTAGGACTAAATTTTAAACTAAATAAAAAAAAAACACACTCTTTTCATTTTGCCCCTAAAATTAAGGATTTAATATCTCTTATGTTATAGAAAATAATTTTATCTCCTATATACATATAAACTAATAAAATATGTAGTGTCAATTTTTTTTTCTCTTTTCTCTCTACATGGCTCATGTTCACACACTTTTATATGTATGTATGAGATAATTTTATCTCCAAATCTTACAATTAATATGACATTGCATTCCACGTTTCCATAGCCATTAGATCATTCCATTTAATAATGTAATAATAAATTAAGGCATTAGGCTTAGTCTAGGGTTAAGAATTTGGATAATTTATATTATGTTATATGTTCAATTCTCACCAATGTATCAAAAAAATAAAAAATAAATAAGGAAAAAGTTCAAAAAATCCTTTGTGGTATTGTTTTGAATCATTTACATTTCTATACTTTTTTTTAATCACTTAACTTTCTGTGATTTTTTTATCCACATCTCTCTTTAACAATGTTAGAAAATTAACTACGTATATATATATTCTACCATTCTTAGAAGAAGAAAATAAAGTGATAAAAATATATTAAAAGAAAAAAATAGTTAAAAAATATCAAATGTGTCAAAATAAAAAAAAGGAAATAAATGTATAAAAAAAGAAAATAGAATAAGAACAAAAAAATAGAAGAAAAAATAATACCAAACATATTAAAAATCACAACACTGACAGAAAAAGACTAAAAGTAAAAATAATGAAAATAGTCCAAACGAAAAAAAAATACTAAAGACAAAAAACTAGAAGAAAAAATTAAGATTTCAATATATTTAGTTTTATTTTTTTATTTTTTGTCCTTGGTCTATTTTATTCTTTATTTATTTCTTGGTATATCTATTTTATTCTTTTATTTTTGGTATTGTATTTTATTCTTTTTTATTTAGATATGTTTGGTCTTTTTTCTCTATTTTTTTCTTCATTTTTTGGTCTATTTTATTCTGATTTTTTCATCGACTTTTTTTAACCTTATGCCACCATATCTACTAAAGATTTTTATTAAAAAAATTTAAAAAAAGAGAGAGAATAAAATAGAGATATAAAAAAGAACAAAAATATCTAAATAAATACACCAAGAACAAAAAAAATAAAAACAAATATATTAAAAATTCATAAATGTAATTTTTTTTGTTCTATTTTTTATCTCAATTTTTTCTTTTATTTTTTTTCTTCGATATTTATATTTTCATTTAAACTACTTTTGTTTTTAATTTTAGTCTTTTTTACTACTTTTGTTTTTAATTTTAGTATATTTTATTACTGTTGTAATTTTTATTTTTATTTTTGGTACATAAAAGGGCGGGGCTCAAAAAAACAACAAAAGGAAAACTCTAATGAGCAACTAGTATTCTATCTTTGCCAACAGAAGACATATAAGCTAGATTTGTATCCAGAGGAGGTTTTCTTTTATTTTTTTAATACATTTATTTATTTTATTTGAACACATAACACATTTGATTTTTTTTTTCCTATTTCTTATTTTATTCTTTTATTAAGTGTTATAAATTTTCATAACATTTGGTTTTCTTTTTCTTTTTCTTATCACTTTATTTTATTCTTCTAAGAAGGGTAGAATATATATTCTGAGTTAATTTTCTAACAGTGTCAAGAAGGATATGAATGAAAAAAATCACAAGAGATTAAGTGATTCAAAACGATGATAATTTTTGAACTTTTCCCTAATAATAATGGGAGAGATTATATTTATTATCTTTTTTTCTTATTATTGAATTTTAACGGTTGATTTTCGTCAATCTAACAATTATAATTTATTAAGAATTAATATTTAATTAATAAGTGTGATCCAATAAATTATAACCAAATCAACGGTGAAGATTTAATAATAAGAGATAATAAAAAAAATTATAGTTAGTCCCAATAATAATAGTGTAAATTAAAAAGGAGAAGAAGCGAAGCTATTATTTGCTCATCACATTTAAATTCACCTCCCATTTCTTTCCAACACACAAACCCGTTAAAAGCTCCGAACTCGAACTTGGGATGGATCTACGCGATCCGAACCGGTTACCTAACCGTAAACCATTCTCCTCCACGGAGCGGTTACTCGGCGTGCCATCCCACGCGCCGCCCCTCGAAAACCCTACCTCCTCCACCGCCGACGAGTTTATCGAGGACGACGTCGTTTTCTTCGACGACGATTACACCGAACCCGGCCCCAGTTACAACCACGCCTCCTCCTCTTCCTTCTCACCCATAACGAATCACCACCATCATCACAACCACAAGGGCTTCAGGTTCGGCTCGCCCGATGCGTTCGGCATCCTCGCCGCCCTGCCGGGAAACGACGCCTCGCCGAACTCCCGAAACGGTTCGCACTTTTTCCGCAAGGCGTCCGCGTCCGCCTCCGTCTCCGCCTCCGCGTCGTTGTCCTCTTCCGCCTCTTCTTCCTCCTCGCGTCTCATTCCCGCCATACCGAGGCCTCCGTCGGACCGAATTCCGTCGTCGGTCAAGTTCCACCAGTCAGCGCCGGTGAATGTTCCAATTTCGTCTCCGGCGATGTTGAAGGCCTCGAGGAGACGGCGCGATGCCGACATAGACGACGACAGCGAAGAGGCGGCGGAGGACGAAGAGATGCTTCCTCCGCATGAGATTGTGGAGAGGAATTCTGCGCAGTCACCGATGCTGGCATACTCTGTTCTTGAAGGCGTTGGGAGGACGCTGAAAGGGAGAGACTTGCGCCAGGTTCGGAATGCAGTTTGGCGCCAAACAGGTTTTCTTGGTTGAAAAAGACTTCTTCTTGTGAATTCTTGAGATATTATATCTTTTACTCTTTGATCTTCAGTGGCCACGAAGTAGTTCTTGGAAATAGGCAAAAAGCCTATATAATCCTAATTGAATGTAAAATTGTGAATGTTTAGGGTGGTTTTTCAACTTGAATTACCTGGTCAATACAGAAACACAAAGCCTTCATATCTTTATTATTGGTCTATTGAGGTTTTATTGATTTACCTGATTGATATATTGGGAGAGGCTTTGTATCGTGTTGTATGTATCTCTTATACTCTTATTTAATATACAAGAATATATTCGGAGAGGTTATGACTCCTAGGCTGATTTTTTATATGCACCTTCATGAGGGTAGTTTATAAAGCACATTTGATTGGAAACTCCTGTTGAAGCTATATAGTGCTTGGGAAATGTTAAATTTACTCAATCAATCAGTTTTAGTGTAATTACTTCTTTTTTCTTTGAAGAAAAAAGAATAGTAACTCTTTCAGCCATTGGAACTGGGCAAATTGGCTTGGTTTTGGTTATTTGGTCATCCTAACATTGATAGATTTGTCAGCACCTGATTACCTGCTGCCATTTTGTCCTGAAACAAACTTTGAACTTTTTTTTAGTAAAAGTAGGATACAATGGTTCTTTATAGTGTTGTTTTTCGTGGATTAAGGGGTCATGATAATTACAACTTTCATATTTTTATTTATTTATTTTTTTCGGGTCCATGTTAGGGTCGAGACTCAGTGTTGGGGCAAGGGATTGGAAACTGAATACTAGAGAGAATTAAGAGAAGCCATCAGGTTAGTTAGGGAAGTTAGGAAGATAGCTTGTTAATTACGATGGCAATTAGGTAGTTAGGTGGATAAATAGCTGAAATTATATAGGAGTTACGCATTCGGGAATTTAGATATAAGAACTGATCAAATGCTCTGTTGTGAAAGAGAGGCAACTCTTTGTAAAGGGGAAACCCTTAGTAGGAGAATTTTTCCTTTAGGCTCTTAGTTTGTAATTCGGCAAACACTAACTAAAGTATTCTTTTTCCTTTTTCTCTCTCTGTATTTCTCATCTCTATCTCTGAAAACTCAGAACCCATTTTTGGGTTCATAACAGTCTATAATCTTGCAGACAAGAAAGCCGTAGACATGGAGCTATTGTTGCTCTGATTGTGTAGGCCTGTGGGGTAGGGAGTGGCTACAACCTAAGCCTTTGGGTATTTATTTTGTGCATGTTAGGAATGACAAAGGGTGGAATGGAAGATGAGTAAAAGACGACTGGTGACTAGTTAGTTTCTTTTCTCAGCATGTACCCACCCTACTGCTTCAAATATTTTCTATGCCTCTCTTTGTATATTGTATGCTGCTCTCGTTGATAGGCATATATTGATAAACTATCCTTTGAGTGTGATGGATTCTTTTGTCCCCTCAGATCAGCGATCTTTTGTAAATAAGTTTGATTAACATGTCGTTATTTGTGATAATTATAAACACACCTACCCAATCCACTTATCTGAGCTTTTGTTGAGTAGTGGCTATTTCCATATATATATATATATATATTCAACACAACCGTTCCCAATATTTGCTTCAATTAAAATGAAAACAACCATTTGCTTATAATGTTTGGATTTACTGTCTAGCCCTTGTTGGCGTGCAATTGTTGCATTGCTTAATGATCTCTGGCTTTCTTTTGTTCACTTTTGATATATATATATATATATATATATATATATATATATATATGCAGATTATATTTTATTCCTGTCATAGATTAATTTGTGTGTGATGAAAATTACTTGATTAGCCATTCTGGTGTCTCGTGTTTTTTAAGTTCTATTTCTTCCACTTTCTCTCTTATCATCTCTCCGTTATTTGTTTAAAAACTTGCAAGGCTTCTCTTAGCTTTGGGAGGGATTGCACAGTTTCACACAGGCATGTAAATGAAGTAACATGAGCATGAGAGTAATTTGGTGCTAGATGGTAGTTTGGGCAACCTAGAAGGATTCAGAAATTTTTTCCTAGACTTATTTTGTTGCAGGATGTAACGATTCTTGGTTTTCCTTGTATGTGCTAAGTTGATCAATTCTACACCGATTCCGGGGCTGCCTTTTTGTTTTCCCGACTGTTTTATGTTTTTAAAGAAAATAGATAAGTACATTCCATTCATTGCAATTTGCAAGTGCTTTTGGGTTATATTTGATAATTTGGCAAACAATGGAACAAAATTAGTTCTTCTCTGCTAGGGCAGATTGGAGTTTCTTTCATTTGGGTTCATTTACCACCGATCCCAATTAGTTTGGGATAAATGTGTTGTTAATGCTGATTTTTTGTTGTTGATATTTTTAGTAATGTCAAGACTCAAATAATTTTATCTTACATTCATTCAAGCTCAAATTGATGTATCATGTAACACCCTATAGTATTCCAGTATGTTATAATTACGTATGATATTAAGCAACCCCTTTATTTTGGTAAGTTCACCAGGTATCAGCCTAGACTAGGGTTTTCTGGGTTCAGCACCTATCAGCCTGGGATACCTTTGCACATGTAGCGATGACATGGCTACATGGGAATTTGAAAGCCTGAAACCTGCCACACTAGCATTTCCTCTAACTGAAATTCACCAGTTATACTCACAATAGTTCAATTAAAAATACGACTAAATGTTCCATTAACAATAATTATCATATTCAAATTAAACTCAAAATTGTAATTGCAACACAGTGACATTGCGGAATAATTAATTCTAGCTTAAACATATAATACTATTAGACACAACTATGGGGTTCTCATACACCCCGCAACATTATTTTCATTTTTCAGCAAACTGGGAAGTTCGCTAAGCTCATCACTGAAGCAAGCTCCTCAGCGAGCAATTCGCTCGCTTCACCTTGTTGTACTGCTCGTTGAAGCAAGCACTACAACGAACAAATTAATTCCACAGGCAGTAGCTACTGCCCATGTGCTTTGTTTCCTTGCAGCTCATCTTGCTGGAACGAGGGCACCAACCATAGTAGTTAAAAGCAGATTGCAGCCTGTTGCGGTCAACCCTGAAAAATGCTATAGCGCTATAGCGGGTTGCGGTTGCGGAAATAGCAGAAATCGCGTAATAGATTAATAAAACCTAGATACACCACACATATATATGCTAAAAAATAAAAACAATCAATAGTAACAAAATAATTATACAATAGTAACAGTTATTAGTTTATTTTTATGTGATAGTAACAAAATAATTTTACAAGATAGTAAAAAAATTATAACTATAACCTCCTTTTTTTAATTTGTGGGAAAAGTGTTTGTCATTTTAAATGACAGAAAGTTATGTCATTTTAAGAGAGATACAGACACAGAAAATTTGAATTTTAAATTAAAAAAAACCATCTACTTTCTCTCTTCCACGATTTCCATTTTTCTGTGTCTATCTCTCTCCTAAAATGACATAACTTATGTCATTTAAAATGATAAACACCAAACTCTTAATTTATAATTTTTTTTTTCAAAATAGATTAATTTGTATTTGAATACAAATTTTAAAATTATTTAAAATAAAAATTATGTATTTTTTTTACTTATTTTACAAACAAAAAATTATTAACTTTTAAACATTATTAAGTGTGTTTAATAATTCACAGTTTGTAAAATAAAAACAAGTACATAATTTTTATTTAAATAAATTGAAAATAGTGGGTAAACATATTTTTTTTCCTTTTCAAATTTAATCTAATCAGAGGTGTCTAGCAAATAAATATGGGTCTGTTGTGTGTTTCAATATATGTATGAATGATCACAACATTAACCTATTATGAGAGTCGGAAAAAAAAGGAGGATAGAAAAATAAGAGAAGAATTCATGGAAAAAAAAACCAAAAAAAAAGAAGGGTAGAAAAAGAGAGTAAGAGAAAACAAAAATAGGAGGGTAAAAAAGAATAAGAGAAAATAAAATTAGAATGTTACTTACCAGAGCTGCCAAGTGCCAACGAATAAAAGGACAAAAAGAGAAACAGGTCCGTTGTGGAATAGAAAAGAAAAATATAAAAAAAAGTGGATCTGTCGCTTTTTGTAATCGGTGAAGTGGGTATGTTGCTTATTGCAATCGGTGGAGTGTGTCAGTATATATAAAAAGCAGATGGTTCAAAAAAGATGAAAAGAATGGCCCATTACCCTTTTAATAATAAAAAATTAAATGTAAAAAATATCTACTTTTTTAACGCAAAACAGTGTTTCTTCTCTCTATTTACTTTCCATCTGCGATTTTGAGCGAGACAGACGCGATCTCCGCCATTTATCTCTGCAATATCGGCCGCTTCAGACGCGACCTCTTTCCATGGCGGTGCGGAGCGGATTCTCGCGGTGGTCCTCCGCAACCCGCGAACGGCGCGGGTAGCGCCGCTTTAGCGGCGCTTTTGACTTCTATGGCACCAACGAGCTTGCTCGCTCCAAGCTCGCGGAAGCGAGAACTTCAGCGAGGTTTCCCCTGCTTCAATTCAGCTTCTATCTCATTTTTAATTAGCTCGCTGGCCTCCTCGCGAGCAAGCAGAGCTTGAACACTTCATGGTTCATTTGGCTCCAAGACTCATTTCCATCCACTTTGACACCATCTTGGGTTCTTGATTAATCATGGAAAGGTAACCCACAACCGAACAAACTAGGATGCTCTTACATCTTCAACAATTTACACCAATTTATGACACTTTCTTGTCATTACTTGGTTTACAAGTTATGTATCCTTAACTTAATCTACAAGACACTTTGACAATAATGCATAATTCCTATACATTCCCAAAAAGTAAAAGGTACATATGTAATAGACCTCAAAACATGCAAACTAGGCATCCATGCCCTCCTATCATATATGCATGTAGTCCATTATTACATAATGTAGGAGGGTAAAAAAGAATAAGAGAAAAAAAAAATAAGAGGATAGAAAAAAGAATAAGAGAAAATAAAATTAGAATGTTACTTACCAGAGCTGCCAAGTGCCAACGAATAAAAGGACAAAAAGAGAAACAGGTCCGTTGTGGAATAGAAAAGAAAAATATAAAAAAAGTGGATCTGTTGCTTTTTGTAATCAGTGAAGTGGGTATGTTGCTTTTTACAATTGGTGGAGTGTGTCAGTATATATAAAAAGCAGATGGTTCAAAAAAGATGAAAAGAATGACCCATTACCCTTTTAATAATAAAAAATTAAATGTAAAAAATATCTACTTTTTTAACGCAAAACAATGTTTCTTCTCTCTATTTACTATCCATCCGCGATTTTGAGCGAGACAGACGCGATCTCCGCCATTTATCTCTGCAATATCGACCGCTTCAGACGCGACCTCTTTCCATGGCGGTGCGGAGCGGATTCTCGCGGTGGTCCTCCGCAACCCGCGAACGGCGCGGGTAGCGCCGCTTTAGCGGCGCTTTTGACTTCTATGGCACCAACGAGCTTGCTCGCTCCAAGCTCGCGGAAGCGAGAACTTCAGCGAGTTGTCCCCTGCTTCAATTCAGCTTCTATCTCATTTTTAATTAGCTCGCTGGCCTCCTCGCGAGCAAGCAGAGCTTGAACACTTCATGGTTCATTTGGCTCCAAGACTCATTTCCATCCACTTTGACACCATCTTGGGTTCTTGATTAATCATGGAAAGGT